TCCCTAGTATGTCACCGTCCCATACCGGTGCATACTCCAACCATCCAGCAGTTGATAAAGCATTGATAATATAAATATCAATATCAACTATTCCATACTAAGCATATTAGAGTATATTAACAAACATGCTTAAATAAAACCACCAATTGATAAAGCATTGACAGTATAAGTATCAACATCATTTACTCCATACTAAGCATATTAGAGTACATTAACAAACATGCTTAAATAAAACCACATCACGGAAGCCATTATTTGTCCACGCAAACAGTATCTATCCATATCAATATACTCCCAGTATCCATATAATGAACAAGGCCTAAACAGAGTTTATATCACTTAATTCCATGGCCTATATAACAAATATAAGCAATGCAACATACACTTAAATTACCTGTCCAACAATTGATGCACTAACTGCTAAAAATTTGATTATCAACTAATCTTTAGCAACGTATAGATTTCTAGCATGTTTTTCCATATCATGAATATGCTCACAGAAATTTCCATCATAAATAAGAAGTTACATTATCCAAAATCATATAATCTGCAAGTTACACAAAGTTTCATACTGTTTTAACGATTAACACTCCGTGTCTAATTCTACATGAATCTATCCTTTGGGATTTTAATCTTACTTTGGACACCCTCTAAAACATCCATTACAGTATTTATTCTCCTCAGAAAAACATAGAAATTCAACCACCATGAAGCTTCCATACTGAAAATTGGAAAAGAAACAAATAGAACGTAAAAATATTGAAGAAAACAACATGGAGCAGGCTCCAAAATCTTGGAGCCGCCTCCAAAGGCCTTGGAGCCACCTCCAATCCAAAAGGACGTCTTTTCATCTTCCCTCTTCTTCAGACGCCTTCTGCAACCACTCTGCTCTATGCTATGGTTTCCAGAAGTCTTAATCTCAATCCCAGTAGGTTCCCAGTCCATGTTTAAGTCTTTAATACAACCCATACATAAGTTTAAACAGAGAATTAAACAAGCAAAAATCACGTGTTAACAGTTTAAGTAAGCATGCAACCATACAGTTTTAATTCAAGTTCTAGCATAAACAGATAACGTTTTAGTAATTCAATCAACCCTAGAATTATTTAGGAATGCAAAGACCACAAAGCCTAAGGGAGAGAGTAAGGATAGAACTTGCGTTACACCGACGTTCGTTTATATTTTCTGGCGAATCCTTTGTTAATTCTCAGTTTTCCTTCCCAGCCGTCTCCAAACTTTTTATGTCTTACTATGGCGTAATCTTCTTCTAAAACCCTAGGCAGACATCCTAGGTGAGTATTTATAGGCCACCCTAACCCTAGGCTTAGTTAAACCCTAATCAGATTACTTGGCCCATAGCAAAAATCTAGGTTCAACCTATGTCGGCTACTTATGTAAATACTTTATATGCAACAAACCTTACCATTACGTTAACACAAAATAAATTACATGTAATTAAATAAGTTTGCAACATTAAATCAACACTTAACACAATTAATTTAAAACAAAAACAATTTAAATAACAATTAAGTAATTAATACAATTAAAGCAATAATTAAAATAATCAAATAAATTAACTACAATTAAATCAATTAATCAAATATTCAATTAAACAAAACAACAGTAAATTAAAATAACAAATAATTCAATTAAATTAACACATAAGTGTGATACCCCCGGATTCCCGAATGTGGGTTGGCCAAGCCCACGCCCAAATACCCGAGGATATCAAAACAAATTGATAATAAACGAACACAGAGTACAAAAGAATAAAGAAGAATAAATAAAATGCTGACAAGAAACTAAAATGATAATCTAATAATAAACCTCATAATATATTTCCATTAATTAATAAACTCTTCTGATACAACTGATCCTCCAAAATATAGCTCGGGAATCCATACTGTGTGGACCCCTAGAAAATCCAAACTAAACAAATGACAGCAATAACTGTCTAAATCAGGAAACTGAATCATAAAGGAACTCCTATGTAGCATCGGAAGAACGAAGTAGACTGATCCATGCTCAGCACGAACAACCTCTACTCCTGACGAACACCTGAAAAATAATGGTGGGTTAGGCCCACAAACAAGTTCTACTCTACTACAGTCCAAGCAGAGATCCGATACACGTATACATCCTAGTCAATCCAACAGTAACTAGTAGTCCATATATATATATATATACACACTAAAGGAACCTCACTAGACTATAGGGTTGTCTCAACCTGAATAGTAGGCAACATGCAAAACGTACATATAGTGGGCATGAATACCTAGACCTACCAGGGTACACAACTACACTATATCTAGTTACACATCCCTGGCGATATACGCACCCTAACCACTGATCCTGAGACTCAAGCTCATATCATGGCACCATACTTATATATATATATAATCTAGTAACCATCCTATCCGGTATAAATTAATCCTCCATAAGTCTTTCAACTTATTCAGCTGACCTGACTTGAATATAAGTAGGACTTAACATTTTAGTTAATCAATTCCCTTCTATAATAAATTAATCATCCATAAGTCATTCAACTTGTTCAGCTGACCTGACTTGAATATAAGTAGGACTTAACTGATAAGTTAATCCGTTCCTAGAATACCACCATCCCATACTGGTGCATTAAATCACACAATTTAACAATTGATGTAACGATTAAGGAAATACATCAAACAATCCAGAAATAACTATGATAATATGATATCAAGTTATCACAAAATAGGAATGACTTATTATTTATTTAAGTTTCCTATATCATATGTCCTACATAAACTGAATCTTATACATATGATAATATTTTATTATACCGTCAAATAAGCATTCTCCATATCCAATTCATCCTATACATTTAATCTCAATTGTTAAAACATATTAAAAGATTAAATTCATTCGTCTGTTTAAAACATTCAAATAGCAAACATCATTATGATTGAGTCTATTTAAATTTATTTAAACCCAAACCTAGTTCCTATTTAATGTTCAGGAATCCTAGGCACGTTTCTACGTTCCATCATTCCACAGATATGAAATATACATAATTTAAACATGTAAAAATTCACATCGGAAATCAAATCAAAATCATGCATTTATCAATTCATAACACAAGAACAGATATGAACTAAATTCATAAAACATATGTTCTAATCCAATTAAACATGCATAATTATTTAATTTTATGTGTTTAATAAATCCTGAAATTTCCTAGGCATGTATAGAAACACGAATCAAAGGGAAAGAGATAGAAGAAGAACTTGCCTTAAACTTTCAGACTGAAAGTTAAACTTCTTCTTCCTTGACCTTCTCTCTAAAGGGTTTTCTCCTCATTCCTTCCTCTTTCTCATTCTCTCTCTAACTCTCTCCCTCTAGAATATATTACGTGATATATTTTCACTCCTTTTTCAACCTATAGTTGTGTATTTATAGGCTAAATAATAACCCTATTCCTTTTTCCAATCTAAGTCAACTTAATAAAGAAAAATAAAAAAATGAAAATATTAAAAAGGTAACTTAAAATATGTTACGTATATAATCTATATATATCCTTATTAATTAAATAAAATATATACATTAGATTATTTATTAATACTAAAGTTACCATAATATTAAAAGGTAACTTAAAACATGTTACGTATATAATCTATCTGTATCCTCGTTAAATAAATAAAATATATAGATCAGATTATTTATTTATACTAAAGTTACCATAATATTAAAAAGGTAACTTAAAACATGTTACGTATAAAATATATGTATATCCTTATTATATAAATATATAAAATATATACATCAGATTATTTATTAATACTAAAGTTACTATAATATTAATAAATTACTTTCCTTTTTATATATATGTATATACATATATATATCTATATATATACATATACAACTATCCATGGGTAATTATCCATACCCATCCAACCTCCTATCCAAGTAGTTCATGGGACCCAATTAGTTAGCTCATTACCACTAACCATAACCATAAAATAAAATAAAATAAAACATTTAATTATTTAATTTACAATTAATTACAATTAATCAAATACATCATTTAAGCACACAATCTAATTAAACGAATAATACAAATAATACTTAGACAAAATGCAAATAACACATAGATAAGTAGCCAATTAATCAAGTAACACTTAATTCAATTAAACACATAAACAATTAGTCAAATAATCAATTAAACAATTAAAAAAATACAATAAAAATAAATAAATAAATACCGAGACTATCCTTTTAAAATTAGGGGTATTACAATAAGCACCTCAGCAATTAAAAACGCAATTTAAACAATAAAGTAAATCCCATTACTATCCTTTTGAAATTAGGGGTATTACAATAAGCATGGAAATTCATCATATAAGCATGCTTTCCACATAATACATTTAATACATGTCCTCACATAACCACATATACACAATTAAATAATTTTAAACTAAAATTAGCACAAATAAGCATGTTAAGTCACAGTTCAAGTAATTTGACTTACAAAAGTGCAAGAATATGCGGATTAGAAAGCCCCTACCTCAAGTTTGTGCAAAACCCTTAAAATGGTTTCCAAATTTCAAAATCCCTATGGAGGCCCAAAGTTGAAATTGTTGGCACTCACGCGTAGAGCTCGTCATGCACTCCGTCTTACCTCAAACGGCACCCCAAAATTCCAAGTAATGAGAGGGTTATCAAGCTTTAAAGATTGAAGTAAAAGAAGAAGAAAAAATTGGAGTTTGAGAGAGTGAGGGAGAAACTTGGGGGGAGAGAGAATGTAAGGCCATGTGTGGTCTCTAGACCACTAGAAACATGAGTGGTGAGTCCCACCACCAACTTTGACTTTTCCTTTTTCTTTTATTTACAACTCAACCCCACAAGAAAATATATAATGAACCACCATAGGAATGCTACATAAAATAAAATGTATGAAATGCAAATGGACTCAACTAAAATCCATACGAAAAACGTGAAAAGACAGAAATACTCTCGCGGCGATGAAATTCCGGAAAAATGAAAAATGTGAAAAATTGGAAACATCACAGAAGGAAAGCAGTGGGCTTCACGTGGGTTTGTCAGTGGAGTTGCCTTTAAATTGGGTGTTTGTGACTTGGTGGGTATACAGAATAGAAGAGAATATTAAAAAGAGAGACAGAGAGTGAGCCGAGAGAAGACTTAAGAGTTTGAGCAGACAGTGAGTGAGTCGAGAGTTGCAGAGGGAGTAGCGAAGCTTGGAGACTTAATGATCTAGTGAGGAAATACTTTTTCAGTGTAGGGTTCTCTATACCTTAAATGGCTTGGAGTGGTTTTGCTTCAATAGTTTTGATTAAATGTTTTAATTAAATGCATATGTATTTTGTTTATACTCACCTGTATATGTTTATTTTGTGAAGCTGTTTTATTAAACCTCATGAAATTCTTGTTATAGTTTTTCCTACTGGGACGTTTGTCTCACCACCTTACAGTTTCAGATACCGAAGATGAACAGGGATTACTAGATGCGGGCTTAGGTTGAAGAGTCGGCGTTGCAGGATTTTATTTATTTATTTTGGAGAATTTTTATGTATTTTTTAGGAAATTGACTTTGTATAAAAGAGGGCATTTTTTTTTTTTTAGATCCTGGGTGTATTGTGATGTATTTGGACTTGTATAAATCGAGGATTTTATTAGAATTTTCGGGGCGTGACATTCTTGTTTTGTATTAACCACCTAGGACCTCGAGTTGTTGATTGGAGTCCCTTGTAAAGCATAATTCTAACCTAAGAATGATGTTTTGATACTAGATATGACATGATTGACCTAGGTAACCTCAGGTTCGGGTAAGGACCGGTTAACAGTTCGGACCCACGGGTTCGGGTCGTTACACCCATGATCTGATCGATTAGATGAGTGGTCCAGAATGAGATGCACTGTCCAGATCCATCTAACCGATCAGATAGCCTCATTTGACTCATCTTATCGACCAGATAGCCGAGGCAACCAAAAACAACATTATGTTAGGTCTATGTAATTGGTTAAACGGTCCCATCTAACCAATCTGGAACAAAATTATCTTGAGAGAAAGTATCTCAGCCCAGTCCCGATGCATCCAAATCTAAAATATTAACCGTGAAGGAAAAATACATGCACGGTACGTCTATGAGATATTATCCCAACATCAAAGCGAGTCCAACAACAACATGTGATAGTTTAATGATATCTAAAACATGCAACCTTAACAAGATTACATGATAACTGTAAATTGGAATCCCACATGCATTGATTAAGGGATCATACATCCATGAGTCCATACGAATAGCTACAAGTGTGAAGCAAAGAAGTGGAAATCATCCGGGAATTTTAAAAGATGAGGATAAGTTCCTGAACCATTTCCCTTATTAAAAAATAATACATGATCACAAGATAACATATCCAAAAGAGGTTACATTAAGCATGTTTAACATGTTGCATGCAATACATTTTTCAAAAGCAGTACAAAACAACTATGTTGAAAGCATATCCAAGCTAATATGGGGTAGCATCCATAAAGAACACTTCTTTACCTGAAAAATGTTAAATCAACGAGGGTGAATAATTTATATTACTCCGTAGGAAATACATATTAGGATAAACTAGGTTTTCATTGGTCCTACAAAAATAACATAAGCTATGCAAATGTGGAAAATGCCTCCTAGTCGTCGAGATCAAGGGTGAAACTAAGGGATCATCTTAGAACTAGCAATATAATAAAATACGACAATCTCAATGAAATAATTCTAAGCTCAGAACAGTACAACGAAACCAAAATACACCAAGTTACTTCTACACATAGATGTCACCTTGAAAATCAAAATACGAAATTACATAATAGGGATGACTTGGACGCACACACACCACTAGTCATACATACTGCATGAACTAGCCAAACAGTCATTCCCAATCTACTAAACCTCAGGCGACAAAACCTAATGGTCATTGTACATTTAGAAAAACTCGTGTCTCTTTCATTAGTGCCGAACCGTAACATTTATAAGTAATAATGTCCCAAACATCTCCTAAAAATCGACAACCAATCAGCAAAATAATTAATCCATGTAACAATGCCACATAGTCCATCTTCCATGCGCACATAAAAGATGAAATCAAGTAATCCATGCCATATAGTCCTCATACATGTCATGAATTTAAAAAAGATGAGATAATAAGGCCTTTGAAAAAAAAAAAAACATAGATTCTAAGTCTACTAACACCTAATACTCAAAACAATAATAATCATGTCATGATTTTTGAAGAAACATTCTAAGGCCTAAACATACAAGTATCATTGAAGAATATATAAATCATACAAATGACATCAATGAGTACAGAAGTTATACATCTATCAATAATCATGCTTTAAAACCTTAGATCTAACTTATGTCACAATGGAAACACGATAAAATTCTCACAACTCGCACAACACCTACATAACTCATAATAGACTCCAAAACACAATGAAAAATTTGGGTTATAATTATACTACACTCCCTACCTTACTCTAGAATAGCAACCTAGAAGAATATCCAAGAATGAAGATGGCCCAAAGCTAAAACAAAACCGAAGGTTTTGTTACAAATGATGTCTTAGTTCTTTTTCCCTTCTATGGAGGCATCAAAAGATAAAGAGATGGTAGCCAAAATGAAGAGAGAAGAAAGAAGAAAAAGAAAAGCAAAACTGGAGGAAGAAAGAGAAAGGTAGAGAGAAAGAAAAGAAAGAAGAAGATATGTTATATGTAGCCTACAATTTTCTTACAAAAATCTTAAAACTGCTGAGTGACCTCTCCAAGATTCAAGAATCACACAAAGACCCCAAAATAGAAATATCTTCAAATTATAATCGCACTTTTGCCCTAAAATAAAATATCTACAAAAGATATTTACACAAGTACCCCCAAGATTGAAAATGTCGATTAAGTCTAATTGCACAAATACCGCACAAGACAAAAGTTGAAAACGCATAAAAGTGAAAACAAGTGGAACATACATCCAAGATGATACGGTGGCAAGTTGTGCAAGTATGAATAAATGAAATGTTGGAAGTCATCCCCGAACACTTGACTCGGTCTTGGGCCTATACGATCCGAAGACCGAAAAAAAGTGAAATAAAACGAACGCAAGAGAACAAAAAGGAAAAAAGTGACACGGTCATCACATATGTGCTTTAAACAATGTCATTACATTGCTTTAATTACTGATAGAAAGTCCGAACCAACCTCTCACAAAGGTTTAGAAAGGCTTTGCCAGTACCGGAGAGTTAGAATTCAGGCTCTCATAATTTTCCTAATTATGATAATAGAGCCTTAATCAGGGACGGATCTATGAATTCATATGAAGGGGGACAAATTTATATAGAGGGGTTTTTTCATAATTTCAGTGGGGGCAATTTCAAAATTTTATGAATATAAATGCAAAAAAATATAAATTTAGGGGAATAAAATGTAATAATAAAAAATTTCAGTGGGGACGGATGCCCCTAATGAGTCCTTTATAGATCCGTGCCTGGCCCTAATCCTAATGATGCATTTTCCTTTAAAGCTACATTTACAGGGGCGGAGCAAGAAATATAAAGTTGGGGTGGCCAAATTACTCGTATAAAATTGATTTTTTTTTTTTTTAAAAAAAAATGTAACAAAATTTTTTTTAGTGCATTAATTTTAGACTTTTTTTTTTCGTTAACATGCCTATAAATGATATGTAAATTAAAAATGGAGAGAAGAACATATGACAGTCGATAAACAAGGTTGTCAAATTAAAATATTTTTTTCTATTTTTAATATATAACAAACAATAATAATAAAACTGAATATTGTATGAAGAATATGAAATAGAGTACTCATATGTTATATCAAGATTGCAATAATAACTTTCCAAAAAAAGAAAAAAAAAAAAAAGGATTCGTTAGACTTAGAGGAACACAAGCGATTTCTTTTGTAAACTATCTTTAATTACCATAAATAAGTATTTTTTGAAAATTTGGGGGGCCAATTTTAATTTTTCTATAGTAAATTACCATTAAAAATTATAAATATACACTATTAATAGAAGTTAAAGAAAATTTTGAGGGGGTCAATTTAAAATTTTCTATACTAAATTACTTTTAATAAGTATAAATATACACCACTAATAGAGAGATTACAGAAAAATTTGGGGGGCCATGGCCACCCCTCCCTGTAACATTTAGGGGTACCAAATTAGTGTCTTGGAATTAAACTTGGATGCTTTCAAATGCAAAGCATAATATTCTTTTCGAAAATGTGACCTTGATTAGAGAATAATTATTCTACACTCAAGGCCGACCCAACACTTTTTGTATCATTTTTTTCTTATTAACCAAAAACAAAATGATAAGTTGTTTAAGTAGTAAGATCACTAAAATGATAAAACTGTAAATTTGTAATTCAGTCAGAAGAGGAAGTTGTATAACGGCATTACTTGTGCCTGCAGAATTGTTAATCACCTGCCGCGATATTATTTTAAAATAACAGCAATAATAAATAATGGCATTCATGCAAAGTGTATGGAAGTTGATTTACGTGTATTAGTGAAATTCATGTGTGCAACAAGTATATATATATATATATAGGATGATCATTCAAAGACGCTGTCTAGCTCTCATTCATCAGTGTCCAAGAATGGTGCAACTTGTGTGGGATGATCTGGATGACTAGCTGGATGAGCCTAACAGCACTGTGACTCATGCAAATCTTGAAAGGGTTGTTGAAAACACCTGCCATAGTGTAATATTTTAGGTAAGCATCATCATTTACATGGTCTCAACTGTTTTTCAACTCTCTCTTAATATTCTTTCTGATTGCACATTGTAGGAAATTTTGCAGCTTTAGCATGGGGGATGCTCAAGAGCCACAAGGTCCACTACTAAATGAGTTAGGTAAATTCTAAGCTACTTCACAAGATAGTTTTTGATAGATGTCATTTGTATATATTCTAATTGAGGAAAATAATATGCAGATCAATAAAAGTATAAATAAAGATTAAAATTGAAATGCAATAATAAAATGAACTAATAGTTATACACTACTGAATACTAACCTTTTCTATCCACAAATTCAACAGGTCAGGAAGCTGAAGGAGCCAAGTCATCCGATCATGCAGCAGCTACCCACCAATCTCCGTTTCCTCCACTCAAAAGTCGAAAATGGTGGCTCCGAATTGTCATCTACACGCTGTGTGTGCTCGTTGGCCAGTCAGGCGCTACGCTTTTGGCAGGATTGTATTACAGGAAAGGCGGAAAAAATATATGGTTGGCAGCACTAATGGAAACAATAGCCTTCCCAATTCTCATCCCTTTCTCTCTATACTTCTCACAACACAATCATGATGATCACCAAAACAACAATTCACCAACGAAAACTCCTCCCTTGATCCTTGCAACAGTCTACATCTGCCTAGGCCTAATGCAAGCATTAGACAACATGTTGTATTCAATTGGGCTCTTAAACCTCCCCGTCTCTACTTTCTCCCTTATTTGTGCAACCCAATTGGCTTTCAATGCTTTCTTTTCTTTCTTCCTCAATGCACAAAAGTTGACTCCTTTGATACTCAATTCTCTCGTCCTCCTTACCATCTCTCCTGCCCTGCTTGTTTATCAAAGTGACTCTGAGACAAAGGCAGGCGCCTCGAGAAGGCAATACTCAATCGGGTTTTCGTGCACTGTTGTTGCATCTGCTTTGTACTCCTTGATGCTTTCACTAACACAGTTATTCTTCTGCAAGGTGCAAAAAAGGGAAACTTCTACTATGGTCTTGAATATGATTGTGTACCAATCACTAGTGGCAACTTGTGTTAGTACATTGGTGCTTCTTGCTAGTGGCAAGTGGAATGGTTTGGCAAGAGAGATGGAAAATTTTGAGCTTGGGAAGGTATCTTATTTGACAGTTTTAGTTTCACTTGCAGTAGCATGGCAGGTTTTCTCTATTGGCGCGGTGGCATTGATATTTGAGGTGTCTTCCCTCTTCTCCAATGTCATTAGTACTTTGGCTTTGCCTATTGTCCCAGTTCTTGCCGTTATCTTCTTCCACGACACCATGAATGGAGTGAAGGTGATAGCATTGTTGTTGGCCATTTGGGGCTTTGCTTCATACTTGTATCAGCATTATCTCGACACTTACAAATCCGAGATTGACCACGAAAATGCTACCCGAGCTCCTGAAGAAGCTCATAGTGAAACATGTTAATTCACTATGAGCTTCTGTGTTCCAAGTCAGAATCTAATTTCCAGAAAGAAAAAGAAAATCATGTAACTAGCTTCAATCATTAAGACTACTTGCTCTTTTGTTCCTGCATTTAATTGTCTTCCCCTAGTTGAAGTGTAACTGTAGATTCTGTCCACTCCATTCATGTTTGGTTTAATGAAGGAAAACAAGATTTTTGTTCATACCAAGTAAGAAGTTGTGAAATAATAGCTGTGGCAAAGTGACTTGGGAATTCCTAGAACATCCATTAGAACCTAGTAAGTTGGTCACATCTTCCATCCCACAAAAATACCTCTATTCAAATAGCTAGTTTAATTAAAAAAAAACTTTTTTTTTGGGAAATTAAATAAATAAATGTATGAGCTTGTCCTGCTTTTTATCTGCTAGTGCTCATATTTTGGGGATTTAAAACAGGTTTAATATTTTAAAAGAGCAAAAAAACAATCATATGGTCCACTGCTAATATCTAGTCAATTAGAGCCAGATATAAAAATTAATAATGTAAGCTCCACACAAATCTATTGTATGTCAATGGTGTAAAAATGTTTCACAAGATGCCCCAAATTAAGCCAAATGAAATCTTTCAAGTTTTATTTAAAAAGAGAGTTATAAAGGTTTGTACATTTTAATTTTATAACAATTAATTACCAATCATGATGAAATGGTCCATATGATAAACGAGCCATAATCAAGAAACAAGTGATGTTTTGCATGGAAAGGACTGAACTAATTTTTGGTTTCATTCATTGGTTCCTTATTTCCTGCTAATTATGAGGCCTCTACACTCGGAATATATATATATATATATATATATTTAAATTGATTTCATCAAATATTGAAGGGGCTACAAAGTTTGTATTTTTATTTTTTATTTTTTAAATTGATTTCATAAAATATTGAAGGGGCTATAAGGGGTTTTTTTTTTTTTTTTTTTTTTTTTTTTTTTCTGCCCCTTCAATATTTGATGAAATCAATTTATCTATCTATAATTGAACTTACTCCTAAGATTACATGAATCACAGGCAATAACAGTAGACAAATGAAAAAATTGAACACAGATTCACTACTGGTGCACCAAAAAATAAATCACATTATATTCTCCATCACTTCACAATAATGTTACATCATCATCACGATCATCATGAAACAATTGAATACAAAGTCTCTCTTTTCAAGCTCACTTTCCGGGTACAAAGTTTGTGGCATAAGCCCAAGCATTGTTGTTAACTGGGTCAGCCAGATGGTCAGCAAGGTTCTCCAATGGTCCCTTTCCAGTCACAATGGCCTGAACAAAGAACCCAAACATCGAGAACATGGCCAACCTACCATTCTTGATCTCCTTCACCTTGAGCTCAGCAAAGGCCTCTGGATCATCAGCAAGGCCCAATGGGTCAAAGCTTCCACCGGGGTAAAGTGGGTCGGTCACCTCACCGAGCGGTCCACCGGCAATACGGTAGCCCTCAACAGCGCCCATCAAGATGACTTGTGAGGCCCAGATAGCCAAGATGCTTTGTGCGTGGATCAAGCTAGGGTTGCCCAAGTAGTCAAGCCCACCCTCACTGAAGATTTGGGCTCCGGCCTTGAACCACACGGCCTCACCGAACTTGACACCGTTGCGGGCCAAGAGCTCGGGGAAGACGCACCCAAGGGCTCCCAACATGGCCCATCTACAGTGGATCACTTCGAGTTCACGATTCTTGGCAAATGTTTCTGGGTCAGCGGAAAGCCCAGCGGTGTCCCAACCATAGTCACCGGGAAATTCGCCGGTGAGATAGGATGGGGGCTCACCGGAGAATGGGCCCAAGTACTTGACGCGGTCAGGACCATACCATGGGCTGCCAGAAGGGACAGGCTTGAAGGACTTCCTCATGGTGATCCGTCCGGTGCCGAGAACCTCCGGGGCAACTTTGACAGCCGTTCCGGCGAGAGATGGGGAAGAGAGAGCCATTGTGGAAGCTGAAGCAGCCATTGTTGAAGAGGAGCTTGGAGAAGGGTAATTAATAAGTTGTAGTGATGGAAGAGACTGGCTAGTTTGGTGGATTATAAATAGAATATCGAGGTAGAGAGAGCTAAAGTCCTCCTTATCTTATGATATCTATATCTCTATTTTCATTGGGTGTCAAGATTTTGTTTCCGTTGGATTCTCTCTCCACTTGTCACCCTTCACTCCACCAAATCATCTAATATTTTACTGCTTGGGGTGGATGAATTGTGTGGTTGTCCTTGTGTAGTTTTGGGGTTACATAGCGAATTATCTTTTCACCTTGGAAGCATAAAGTTTAATAGTTTGGGAGTGTGTTCTTTGAGAAGGTTATGTCCAAAGTAAAAAAGCTTGGCTTCAACTTCGAATAATTGCTTCTATTCCTCTCTAGAAATTTGTAGCTTCACATAAAATTCTTCTTTCTGCTTAATTTTCTAGTAATGTTCAAAAAGGCTCCGTGTGGTTTTAATCTTCAAAATTTAATTAGATTATATATATATATATATATATATATATATATATATATATATATAAAATAATTTGTAGTGTTAAATTAATCACCTGTCAACCTGCATTCCAACAACTAAGATTAAATTATGCAATTTACATAAATTGTTTTTTTATATAAATGATGCAGAATTATATATAAATTGCACGACTTAGCGTCTTCAAATTAAAATTGAACGAAAAAAAAACTTTAAATTAAATTTTCTTTGCAAAAGATAAGACCCGAACATAGCATTAGTAATTTTATTTTATTTTTCTTTTTTTATTTGGCAAAACAATCCTTCTAATAAAAAAGGAGCACTGAGGTAAGTCTCATTTACATGAATTGATTGACAAGCTCTCCTCACCTACCGTAGTAAAATACTTAGGGTGAGAAAGTCTATTCACCATTTAAAACTCTCTCTCTCTCACTCACACACACATAAACACGGGCACTGAAGCTTTCAGCGAGTTAGGTGGTCTTAAGGTCCTAGCCAATAAGAAGACTTTAGGTGGTCGCTTAAGGTCCTAACTAATAAGAAGACTTCATAATTTTTTACTTATTTATATATTATATTTTTTAAAATAATTATGTTAATTATTAAACATTGACAAATAGAGAGATTTGACACTAACCTAAAAAATTTCTATCGTTTATCGCCTTTTTTTTTTTTTTTTTTTTAGGGCCCCTAGAATTTTTTTCTTATATATTATAAGCTACCTAAAAATTTTATTTTATTTTCTTCTATTATTACACCTCAATCAATAGAGAAATTTAATATTAAGCCCAAAATATTTCTATAGTTATATTACTTTTTTTTCTCTCATCTTTATTACATGAGTGTATTACACACATACATATATATTACTCCTCATTATCATTACACCAACCATAAATATATCAATTATGGTGAGACTTGTGAAACTTTTAATATTTTTTTAAGACCATATTTAACTTTTATTTTCTCTTTTTTCTTATTTCTCACTTATTTTTTCTCCTCTCAGTATAAATTTTATTTATTTATTTTCATCTTCTCCACTCCTATAATTTACAACCTAACTTCCTCACAAGACTTTGAATGAGCTTTTGTTCTATTAAAGAATTTTTTGGAGTATTGTACCAAATTCTTCCAAATCAATTCCATTGTTCTATAATTTCAATTAATTTATAGTTTTATTAAATTTTGTTATCATAAAATTATTTATTTAAAACTTCAAATTATATTGAGTCCCCTTTACACATACACAAACCTAATGGAATGGGCAAGGATCCCCCACCACCAGTAGAACTAGTCCTCGTTCATGGTCACATACATCTCTCTCTTTCTCGTGGAGGAGGATTCCCTATTCCCTACCACCGATATAAACGGTCCTCATCCATGCATTGACGTGTCATATACACTTGTTTAGTAGGGTGAGTGAGATGCTATTGAGTGTGATCATACTTTCTCCATAAAGATAAATAGAAATATCCAATACCACAAGTGTCAAAATTCCACTGGTGGATACAACAACTTATAACATTGGCCTAGATTTTTCATAAATTTTAAAAAACTAATATTAGTGGTGTAGAGGTTGCCAATCGGACATGCATGCCATTATCAAATTCCAAAAATGTCAGCATCCAATAAGAATGGAGAGAGATATCTCCACAGATAAGGACAGTGGGCCTGCAAGCCTATTTTTATCAACTAGGTTTGGTAGAGCCCCATCAAACATGGTGGGCCCCACAAAGTGTTTGTCTATTGTCCACACACAATGCCGACTCAACAAGTAATTTATCAGTCAGCTAATAATTGGGCCCAAACCAAGTAAGGTAGTTGGGCCTATTCTTTTGTCGGCACCCCCATTAACCCAATACATTCACCAAGAACAATGGACTCAGGGAGATCCATTGTAGACGGACCATAATTGGAGCTCCTCGTGTGTATTCCTTGAGTTCTGGGCCACTACAGGGTCGAGTTTGGTGAGGCTATGTGGTTCAAAGCTGAAGCCCATATCATGAGTACTTGGGTTCCATCTTGATCCAAACATTTGGGACAATTTTGATGGGTTCTGTGGGGCCTAGCGTGTGGGCTATACCTGGTCCAACGCACTTTACCCCACTGGAAGCTTGACCCATTAGTCCTTTTCTTAGCCGCTGCCTGCAGGTAAAGGAGATCAAGAATGGCAGAGTTGTCATGTTTTCTATCTTCTGATTCTTTGTTCAGACCATTGTGACCCGAAACGGACCGTCAGAGAACCTATTCCGCAAACTTTGCCCCTGATTTCATAACTTTGAATTTCGGCAAACAAAATTAAGGAAACACTTCTTTAGCATATTCAACAAACCTATGGAAGAGATATTTTTTGCCGAGGATCCCCAAAAACAGCAGAGTATTTTTTGAAGAACTTCATCATAGCAAATTGTCACTACAGAGGATTTTATTTTTATTAGAAAGAAAAAAGACAAGATTACAAAAAGGTTAAAACAAGCAACAAACAAATTAATCTAACCAACATGCTACTGTAAACAAGCAGCACCAAGAAGCAAGGCTTTTAGCAGAGAACAGACCAGAGCTACAAGGCAACCCTAGATCAGCAGTCAAGCAGCAGGACCACAAGCAGAAGCTAGGCACCACAGCTCAAGATAGACTTCAACTATGAACCACAGCCAGAAAGCTAAAGAACCAACTGAAAATGGAGTCTGGCAAATTCCAACTCTGTTGAAGGTGAATGTAAAAGACTCTATCTGATGGCATTAGAAATTTTAAAGATCGAATTTTAACGTACTCATAAGCACTATGGATGAATGCTACACGACTTGGAAACTTTTTTTTTTTCAAAAAAAAAAAAAAAAACAAAAACAAAAAGGAACCTGGACTGGTAACATTTGCAAACTACTAAATCAATAAAGTTTAAACAAAATTACAAGCACATTATTTAGCCAATGAAGGGTGGTAGCAGCTGATTGACAATTAAAAGTTTTCATGCTCTTTGCCTTCAGAACACATCTCATGCCATTAGCTTCAATGCATATATAGTCATGACATTGACGCCATCTTGCTCTTGCTTAGCTTTAAAAGGGAAGACAGCACTTCATCCATGTTGGGTCGGTCCTCAGGATCAGGACAGGTGCATGACAAGGCCAAGTTAAGGATCTCCTCCAGGACTTCCTGCTCCTTGGAGTAATTTGAAGCTCGTAGATCAGTCTACAACTTGAATCATACTTCTGATTCCATCTGCAAGGGTTTTCTCCACAAGTTGAGGCAAGGTGATTGGCAATCCATCCTCTTCTGCAAGTCCTGTCGGCCTTCGCTTTGTCAGGAACTCCATTATTATTATCCCGAACCTGAACACATCGACTTTTGTTGTAACCTTCCTCATATATGCAAATTCTGATCAAAATATGAACATGTTTCAGTGGCGTAAGAACCAAGAATTTAAGTAACCACATTGTTACAACAGAATTGTAAAATTGAACCATGACATGCCCATCTACATTTGATCATTTCCATTGCAAATTTCTGATGTGAAATATAATACATATTTTCCATTTATACTTAAAAAAACTGAAATATATCTATAACCAAATTTTATAAGAAGTACAACTTAAGGATGAGGGTGAAATGCATGGTTTTTTTTTAAAGGAAAAAGCACAGACAGAGTGCTTGAAAACTATTCAAGCGGCAGTATCCCAATTATAAATATAGGTTTTCATTTATAAATCTATTGAGTAAGACAACTATAGAAATATAATTAATTTATAATTTCTATATTAAAGTTACACAAGTTAGAAGATGAAGCTATTTAAATATAAAAAATAATATGTAATATCATATATAATATTACTATTCTATCTTGTCATTGTAGTTATACTTTTGTCCATTACATACTATGAGTTTATAGCATGTGTTTAACATCAATTTTTTAAAAGAAAAAGAGGCTGGACACTTTAATATATGTTAACAATGTTGTTTTCACTATTATAATGTATTTCTCTTAAACAAGACAAAGAGTGTGAGATGTGTTGGTTAAGTATTCGAAATGTGTTGACCAAGTGTTTAAGATGTGACGACCAAGTGTCCGAAATAATAAAAATTATTTTTAAATTATGAACACAATTATGAAATGCAGACATGTGTTTAAGGGTATCCATGAAGTAATCGAGTATTGTCAGTGTTCGATACTAACACAATACCTTTGTAGAAGTGTCCTGCCTTCTTAGCATTAAACCCTATTTGTCACCTAATGATAAATTTACCCCAACCACAATTTTAAAATCTTACTCTGAACTTGAGGAGGCCTCGGATGACATGGGCCAGATCCGCCTCGCAAACATAGCACTCAGTCCGTACAGCTGGGCCAGCCCATAGAAGGACACTGCCATATGGGCCGAACGAGAGTAAGCCCATCAAAAGTGACCAAGGCTTACGAAGGAATAGGCCCAGATCCAGCAATTAGTAAATATCTTGTAAATATCTTGTAAATATCTATAAATAGGAGATGGAATGAAATGAAGGGGGATCTTTTTTGGGTTGAGGTGTAAGAATTCTAGAGAGGGAAAGTGGAGAAGGAATTTCTTG